GCACTAGGTACTAAACTATCATTCATTATTTTAACAGAAACATGGCTAAGTAAAGACCATATCCAACTTTACAACTTAGCTGGTTATAAAGCCATTCACAACTGCAGGCCTAATAAAAAAGGTGGCAGCACAGCTATCTATTACCAAAATACCTTCATCTGCAATAGTGTCATTAGTGATAGAGACGCCTATGGTGAATATATATCTTTGCTCAGTTCTCGATTAAATCCTCTTTGACTCTTGGAACTATCTATAGATTTCCCAATGCTAATATAACTGCATTCTCAGATAACCTAAGGAATTTTATCATAAATAACAATCTGAACCAAATCACATCATTCTAGGTGACGACTTCGATATTGACCTGTGTCAACAAAATACCCCTCAAGTCGACTATTTCCTAAACCGCTTGAACTCCTGTATGCTAATCCTCACAATCACCAAGCCCACACGAATCACTCAAACATCCACTACTATCTTGGATCACTAATGGACTAACTTAACAGCTCTCCTTGCATCTGGTACAATCACCGTCAGAACAACTAAACACTATCCTATCTTCCTTATAGCAAACATAACACCACAAGATACCAAGACACTTACCTTCAGGTTACACAGTGAAGCAACAATAGGCAGTCTCACAAATGCACATCACAGTATAAACTGGGAATCTGAATTCAATAGTATACAGGATATAAATTACACAGGATAAAAACTCTTCCGTTCCAAAACTTTAACCCTCTACTACACTCATTGTCCTCTCCTCATCAAGCAAATAACTGCCGAAAGATTAAACAACCCATGGCTCAAGTGGCATACTCAAAACAATCAACAAGAAACATGAATATAAAAAAACACTTAGGATTGGCCTAGTTACAAAAGTAGTAGTTTGGAAGTACTCATCAATGCTTACCAGTATCAACAAATGCAATTCGGCTTCAGATAGACAATGTTAGCATCAGCAATAAAAATGATGGAAAGTTCCTTGGCCTACACTTAGACAAGGGACTCAACTTCAGCACCCACATACAACACATAACCAAGAAAGTCTCAAACACGGTTGATATACTTTTTAAAATCAGATATTACGTTCCAAACTCTGCTCTCCTCTCATTATACTACGCTAATCTAACTCTATATTACATACGGTATCTGTGCATAGGATTCAACAACTGCAAACTACCTCAAGCCCATCATCACCCAGCAAAAATCTACTATCAGAACAATAACAAACTCTGTTTTCAGACAACACTCAGCCCCCTGTTTAAATCTCTAAGCATGCTAAACATGAACTCACTCCATACATTCTCTTTTGCCATTTACATTTATAAAACCCTGTACAATGCAAATCCTGCAAATTTAAATGCAAATCCTGATCTGAAATTCTTCCTTGACAAATGTAATAGAACCCATAATCACCACCAGAAATCAAACCAGTACTGAATGTAATGAAACGTCATTTTCTGGGTGGAAAAGCAGGAAGGAAGGGGGGTCCACTGGTCAGACCCAGACGCTTCGACAAGAGGAACTGGCTTGAATGCCTTCGTCGCCACCATGTAAGGGGCATCCCCCCAAGACCACCTGACTCTCGAAACCAACTAAACCCTGCCTTGACTCTGTCACCCTCAGACGTTTCTGAGCTGGAAGCAGGGGAAGAGGGGGAGGTGGGGAAGGACCAGGACCACAGCAGGGGAAAGACGAGGGGCGCGGAGTGAACGAAAGTCGAAGCGACTAACACCCCCAAGTCTGGGTCCCAAGAACTAAAAGGGGGCAGCCTTGGGGCTTTCGGGTCAGCAACCAACCTATCGCACTGCAGCAACCTAAAAGGAATAGTCATCAGTTGACTGGGTGTATTGAGTCACAAACAAGCAAGAAAACTCCCAGGACTCCAGGTCGAAGGTGTCGCCGACCCAGCAGGCAGCATGACGGAGACATGAACGATGAAGGTCACCCGGAGACAAGGGGACCGAGCAACCCTCAAACTCGCACAAGGCGAGGTGGGACCCAGTGGTCACATCCATCAGACTATCAGACCCATGCTCCCCCACGGGAATTCCCAGGATCCTGAGACGGAACTCACGCTCAGGGAAGCCCAGACAGAGAACTGCTAACCGACGCCCAATATTACTAACAAACTGCAAAAGCTGCACCCCCGGGACGTGTACACTCACAGGGACCTAGCGGGGGGACCACCAGTATACAAGGGGATGAGACCAAAACCAAGGGGCAGAACCCCCATCAGGCAAGAAAACAAAAACAAAAGAAAAACCCCGCAAGAGGACAATGTACCCAGGCGGAACAGAGCCAACCGCTCTGAGAGGTGAAAACTAGCTGCACAGTACCCCGTGCCCCTACCAGTGCAAACTATCTCTAGCCAAAGGTAAACAAGAGTGCATGAAACATCCAAGCACACTAAGGGCGGTCAATCACCGAGCAGCAAAAGACCAAGCAGAGGTAGACCCCAAGGTTACTTGTGGAACGTGGCCCCAAGCCTCAAGAGCAGTACTTACAGGGCACCAAGGGAAGGTGACCCTAGGCACATGCAGTCCGAGTACTTGTGAAATTACTCCTGGCTCGTGCTCCACCAGAGAAACAACCCATACCACAAGGCACAGAGCTGGAGAACAAGAAAATAAGAGCCAGAGTCACACGACCATTGCCAATCACATCAGCCTAAGAACTGGCTTGTGGATAGCCTGCGTGAGAGTCTGGGGCTCCCCCTTTCCCCTCCCGGGAGTGGGGAGCTGCCCAGACAAGCAGCGCAGTGACTTAGGGGCCATGGCAACCGAAAACCCGAAGAAAAATGGAATATTTACGAAAAATTACGAAAAATACTACAACGTTCTGGCAACACTGTGGTGCAAACCGTTTTATCTTATGTTGAAAAATAACGTAATTAGAGTCAAATTTCCCGCTGCAACTTTCGTGAATCTGGTCCTCGCGGCGTTGGTGCGCCGCGGAATATTGTATCTTACGTTGTAGAAGTCTTATTTTTCGTAATAGCGTTGAAAATAACATGTTATGCATAAAATGAATATAAACTCACTCATTGGCAACAGTCACGTGTGAGAGAGAGGGTGGTACGTGGCTCAGCCCTTCAGTCACTTTGTGTCTCTTGGGGAGTGGATGTATCGCTGACGCGCTCTCACAATATCTCCCAGAACGCATGCTATTTTTGCTATTTGTACTGCAATATGACTTACCAAACGAACAAGAGAAAAGCATTGAAAGCTAGATGCATGCGAGCTCTCCATAGAAGGTACGAGCTGGCCGCAATGCGTAAATCACGCATTGTCACGAGTGACCGCGAGTATGAGTATCTTGTCGCGGCGTGTTACGCAACTCCAACTTTTACAACTAGATCTGCTCTCACAGCCTTTATTTATTATTCAATTTACATGAAACTTGCACATTATATGTAGAGTTTACGCCTCTAAAAACGGATGTCATTATTCTTATCTACGTAGATTTATTGATTTTATAAATAATGATACACTTCATTTTGTTGCATACGTTTTTGGGAAACTTTTAAAAATCTGTATTATTGCACTAAATACATCTGGAATAAAGATGTGACATCCAAATCTTTATTATATAGTAAGGTCATAGCTGAGTGTCGTAGAAATGATTTTGGTTCACAATTGTGGGCTGTGAAATCAATTGAACATGGTTGAAAAATTCTTTTTTTTTTTTTTTTTTTTTTTTTTTTCTCCTTCTCTATTTAGGCTGAGATGCTGAAACTTGGCCTAGGTGCAGCACCTTTCACATGTATCAGGATAATAAATTATGAATACCCTGCAACACTTTCTTATATCCTATTACCATGGCCCCTTAGTGATGTCATGCTCGCTTACTCGTTTTCATTTGGGGAGTTCTGTCCACTAATTCGGCTTTCAGTAGCAATTTCTTAACCAGAATAAGGTTTTGTTTTGGGATGCATACCTTTCTGGGTGCCTGACCCTGTTGATGGCAGACATAGACTGCTTCCAACCACACGGGGGTTTCTGTAGGCCATTGCTCCTTGTGTGCCTCTGAGGGGACCAGGTTCTGGCTCATGGTTTACGGTAGGCGTAGAACTCAATTTACATTGACGGATGCCAATGTCTAATATATCCATATCAGCCTGGATAGCTACGGGGAGCCGAATGGGCTCCCACCACAAATATCACTTTGATATCTCCCAGAGTTAAACTAAATCTGTGTTAATGCTCTATGCAAATAAAGGGACCTAGTCTATTGAACTCACTCCCTAACGAATTGAAAAGCTGTCCAACCTACGCCTTATTAAAAAATAAAACCATGGGAGAAGTGTAAGGGAGTGTTGACCGTGGGAGAGATGTAAGGAATTGTTGGCCGTGGGAGAGTTTTTTCCTAATTATTTTCTAGCACAAACGTGGCCACACATTTACAATGCTAACCAGCATATATACATTTCTTCTGTCCTCCATGGACAGGTTTGGAGATCTGTTAAACATATAATTCAAAGATTTATTGAACAATCAACCACAGAAGGTGATTGTAGTGCTGTTAAAATGCTAAGTTAACCTACAAACGTGGGAGAGGTGTGAGTGATTGTTGACCGTGGGAGAGATGTAAGGGAGTGTTGGTCGTGGGAGAGATGTAACGGAGTGTTGGTCGCGGGAGAGATGTAAGGGAGTGTTGGTCGTGGTAGAGATGTAAGAGAGTGTTGGTCGTGGGAGAGATGTAAGAGAGTGTTGGTCGTGGGAGAGATGTAAGAGAGTGTTGGTCGTGGGAGAGATGTAAGGGAGTGTTGGTCGTGGGAGAGATGTAAGGGAGTGCTGGTCGTGGTAGAGATGTAAGGGAGTGTTGGTCGTGGGAGAGATGTAAGGGAGTGTTGGTCGTGGTAGAGATGTAAGGGAGTGCTGGTCGTGGTAGAGATGTATGGGAGTGTTGGTCCTGGTAGAGATGTAAGGGAGTGTTGGTCGTTGGAGAGATGTAAGAGAGTGTTGGTCGTGGGAGAGATGTAAGGGAGGACTTACTTGGCGTGAAAGATGTGGGAGCAGGGGAGGGCGTCGAGAGAATTGCCGCCCTGGGCGCCATACCGCTCCCCACACACGCCACACACCAGCTCCATCTCCTCGGTCAGGCACGACGCCAGCCGCTCCTGCAGGCCGTCGTTCTCGTCGTCGTTGAGGATGCGGTAGAGTTCAGCGAGACGCAGGTGTGCTGACCGCATGATCAACTGCCAGAGCAAGGTGAGGCTGTAGGTTATCCTCGACACATTACTTGCTGACTGAATTATGTTCGTCATACAATGAAGGCAAAAGTCCAAAAGAATATTGTAATTTATTTTACCTCTTGTTATAATTTTTAAATCATATAATTTCTAAAAATATATTTTTAATTTTTAATTATATTAATGCCATTAATTATTAAAGTTAAATTATATTCATTATTTTTAATCATGTAAATTATTTTTATATTACCTGTTATTTTTTATTCTAATTCTAATTATATTTATATTTTTGTAAAATTAATTATTAATGATTTTGAACGGAGCATCGTTTTTAATGGATACAAACTTGGTCACTAACAAAGTTGAGAAACTCTTCTGAAGTAAAATACAAGAACAGAATACAGAAATCTTCCAAGAGGAAGGCTGAGGAACCAGACACTCACCTCGGACCACGAACGAGTCATGGTAGCACACTGAGAGAGAACACACTCACCTTGCAATGGTAGAGCGACGGTCTCGCTTCATGCAGGTCGGCGTTCAATCCCCGACCGTCCAAGTGGTTCAACTCTACAGAACAAATAAATTGCCACAGATACGGAAAACACCTAATTTGTCTCAAATAGAAAAAAAAGAAGTAAGATCGAAGTCACTGGACCACTGACCAGTGCCACTGGACCACAGACCAGTGCCACTGGACGACAGACAGTGCCACTGGACGACAGACAGTGCCACTGGACCACTGACCAGTGCCACTGGACCACTGACCAGTGCCACTGGACCACTGACCAGTGCCACTGGACCACTGACCAGTGCCACTGGACCCTTGACCAGTGCCACTGGACCACTGACCAGTGCCACTGGACCACTGACCAGTGCCACTGGACCACAGACCAGTGCCACTGGACGACAGACAGTGCCACTGGACCACTGACCAGTGCCACTGGACCACAGACCAGTGCCACTGGACCACAGACCAGTGCCACTGGACGACAGACAGTGCCACTGGACGACAGACAGTGCCACTGGACCACTGACCAGTGCCACTGGACCACTGACCAGTGCCACTGGACCACTGACCAGTGCCACTGGACCACTGACCAGTGCCACTGGACCCTTGACCAGTGCCACTGGACCACTGACCAGTGCCACTGGACCCCTGACCAGTGCCACTGGACCACTGAACAGTGCCACTGGACCACTGACCAGTGCCACTGGACCACTGACCAGTGCCACTGGACCACAGACCAGTGCCACTGGACCCCTGACCAGTGCCACTGGACCACTGACCAGTGCCACTGGACCACTGACCAGTGCCACTGGACCACTAACCAGTGCCACTGGACCACTGACCAGTGCCACTGGACCACTGACCAGTGCCAAACAAAAGAAACACGACTGGCCTGACTTCGTAGTCCTCAGCTTGCAGAAGATATAGGGTTCAGCTGCACACAAAGCTGGTATACTTGCATGTGTTAAGCTGATGTACCTGGGGGTGGGTTAAGCTGGTGTACCTGGGGGTGGGTTAAGATGGTGTACCTGGGGGTGGGTTAAGCTGGTGTACCTGGGGGTGGGTTAAGCTGGTGTACCTGGGGGTGGGTTAAGCTGGTGTACCTGGGGGTGGGTTAAGCTGGTGTACCTGGGGGTGGGTTAAGCTGGTGTACCTGGGGGTGTGTTAAGCTGGTGTACCTGGGGGTGGGTTAAGCTGGTGTACCTGGGGGTGTGTTAAGCTGGTGTACCTGGAGGTGGGTTAAGATGGTGTACCTGGGGGTGGGTTAAGCTGGTGTACCTGGGGGTGTGTTAAGCTGGTGTACCTGGGAGTGTGTTAAGCTGGTGAACCTGGGGTGGGTTAAGCTGGTGTACCTGGGGGTGTGTTAAGCTGGTGTACCTTGGGGTGTGTTAAGCTGATGTACCTGGGGGTGTGTTAAGCTGGTGTACCTGGGGTGTGTTAAGCTGGTGTACCTGGGTGGGTTAAGCTGGTGTACCTGGGTGGGTTAAGCTGGTGTACCTGGGGGTGTGTTAAGCTGGTGTACCTGGGGGTGTGTTAAGCTGGTGTACCTGGGGTGGGTTAAGCTGGTGTACCTGGGGTTGTGCTAAGCTGGTGTACCTGGGGGTGGGTTAAGCTGGTGTACCTGGGGGTGGGTTAAGCTGGTGTACCTGGGGGTGTGTTAAGCTGGTGTACCTGGGGGTGGGTTAAGCTGGTGTACCTGGGGGTGTGTTAAGCTGGTGTACCTGGGGGTGAGTTAAGCTGGTGTACCTGGGGGTGTGTTAAGCTGGTGTACCTGGGGGTGTGTTAAGCTGGTGTACCTGGGGTGGGTTAAGCTGGTGTACCTGGGGGTGGGTTAAGCTGGTGTACCTGGGGGTGGGTTAAGCTGGTGTACCTGGGGGTGGGTTAAGCTGGTGTACCTGGGTGTGGGTTAAGCTGGTGTACCTGGGGGTGAGTTAAGCTGGTGTACCTGGGGGTGTGTTAAGCTGGTGTACCTGGGGGTGGGTTAAGCTGTTGTACCTGGGGGTGGGTTAAGCTGGTGTACCTGGGGGTGGGTTAAGCTGGTGTACCTGGGGGTGTGTTAAGCTGGTGTACCTGGGGGTGGGTTAAGCTGGTGTACCTGGGGGTGTGTTAAGCTGGTGTACCTGGGGGTGTGTTAAGCTGGTGTACCTGGGGGTGGGTTAAGCTGGTGTACCTGGGGGTGGGTTAAGCTGGTGTACCTGGGAGTGTGTTAAGCTGGTGTACCTGGGGGTGGGTTAAGCTGGTGTACCTGGGGGTGGGTTAAGCTGGTGTACCTGGGGGGTGTGTTAAGCTGGTGTACCTGGGGGTGGGTTAAGCTGGTGTACCTGGGGGTGGGTTAAGCTGGTGTACCTGGGGGTGGGTTAAGCTGGTGTACCTGGGAGTGTGTTAAGCTGGTGTACCTGGGGGTGGGTTAAGCTGGTGTACCTGGGAGTGTGTTAAGCTGGTGTACCTGGGGGTGGGTTAAGCTGGTGTACCTGGGAGTGTGTTAAGCTGGTGTACCTGGAGGTGGGTTAAGCTGGTGTAACTGGGGGTGTGTTAAGCTGGTGTACCTGGGGGTGGGTTAAGCTGGTGTACCTGGGGGTGTGTTAAGATGGTGTACCTGGGGGTGTGTTAAGCTGGTGTACCTGGGGGTGGGTTAAGCTGGTGAGCCTGGGGGTGGGTTGAGCTGGAGGGGCAGACTCGTCTCTGACAGGAGAAGGTGTAGTGTTCAAAGAGGAACAATCAGAGCGGAGGGAAGTGAGCCGAGGCTCCCACATTACTCCCTGTGTATTACGTTCATTCTTGACTTTCAGACGTGAGAGTTAAGTGTCCATTTCTTAGCCCCGCTTTGTGGTCCTGGGTGGAGGCTGGAGACACAGGTGAGGGGGGACCTGTGGTGCTGGTGGAGGCTGGAGACACAGGTGAGGGACCTGTGGTGCCGGTGGAGGCTGGAGACACAGGTGAGGGGGGACCTGTGGTGCTGGTGGAGGCTGGAGACACTGGTGAGGGACCTGTGGTGCTGGTGGAGGCTGGAGACACAGGTGATGGACCTGTGGTGCTGGTGGAGGCTGGAGACACAGGTGAGGGACCTGTGGTGCTGGTGGAGGCTGGAGACACAGGTGAGGGACCTGTGGTGCTGGTGGAGGCTGGAGACACAGGTGAGGAGGGACCTGTGGTGCTGGTGGAGGCTGGAGACACAGGTGAGGAGGGACCTGTGGTGCTGGTGGAGGCTGGAGACACAGGTGAGGGACCTGTGGTGCTGGTGGAGGCTGAAGACACAGGTGAGGGACCTGTGGTGCTGGTGGAGGCTGGAGACACAGGTGAGGGGGGACCTGTGGTGCTGGTGGAGGGTGGAGACACAGGTGAGGGGGGACCTGTGGTGCTGGTGGAGGCTGGAGACACAGGTGAGGAGGGACCTGTGGTGCTGGTGGAGGCTGGAGACACAGGTGAGGAGGGACCTGTGGTGCTGGTGGAGGCTGGAGACACAGGTGAGGGACCTGTGGTGCTGGTGGAGGCTGAAGACACAGGTGAGGGACCTGTGGTGCTGGTGGAGGCTGGAGACACAGGTGAGGGGGGACCAGTGGAGCTCCTGGAGGCTGGAGACACAGGTGAGGAGGGACCTGTGGTGCTGGTGGAGGCTGGAGACACAGGCGAGGAACCTGTGGTGCTGGTGGAGGCTGGAGACACAGGTGAGGGACCTGTGGTGCTGGTGGAGGGTGGAGACACAGGTGAGGTGAGACCTGTGGTGCTGGTGGAGGCTGGAGACACAGGTGAGGGACCTGTGGTGCTGGTGGAGGCTGGAGACACAGGTGAGGGACCTGTGGTGCTGGTGGAGGCTGGAGACACAGGTGAGGGGGGCCCTGTGGTGCTGGTGGAGGCTGGAGACACAGGTGAGGGACCTGTGGTGCTGGTGGAGGCTGGAGACACAGGTGAGAGGGGACCTGTGGTGCTGGTGGAGGCTGGAGACACAGGTGAGGGACCTGTGGTGCTGGTGGAGGCTGGAGACACAGGTGAGGGGGGACCTGTGGTGCTGGTGGAGGCTGGAGACACAGGTGAGGGACCTGTGGTGCTGGTGGAGGCTGGAGACACAGGTGAGGGACCTGTGGTGCTGGTGGAGGCAGGAGACACAGGTGAGGAGGGACCTGTGGTGCTGGTGGAGGCTGGAGACACAGGTGAGGGACCGGTGGTGCTGGTGGAGGGTGGAGACACAGGTGAGGAGGGACCTGTGGTGCTGGTGGAGGGTGGAGACACAGGTGAGGGGGGGACCTGTGGTGCTGGTGGAGGGTGGAGACACAGGTGATGGGGGACCTGTGGTGCTGGTGGAGGGTGGAGACACAGGTGAGGGACCTGTGGTGCTGGTGGAGGCTGAAGACACAGGTGAGGGACCTGTGGTGCTGGTGGAGGCTGGAGACACAGGTGAGGGGGGACCTGTGGTGCTAGTGGAGGCTGGAGACACAGGTGAGGAGGGACCTGTGGTGCTGGTGGAGGCTGGAGACACAGGCGAGGAACCTGTGGTGCTGGT